ATATAAGCCTAAAGAACGAGGTTGTGATGTCCCCTGTTGGATGTTTTCTTTTTCTTTTTCAGGATTTGGATCAGATTGCCACATGGTTGAGAGGAGAAGGCCTTGCTCCTGACTCTTCCAAGGACACTCAGCTGTGCTTGCTATGGCGTWCTCATCAGCACACAGAAAAATGTCTGAGCGACGTGACAAAGGATCTGGARACAAATCGCTCACAACACTTTGCAGAACTGGCAGAGGTGAGTTGTCAACAAAGGTGTCAGGGATTGTCATGATGACCATAGGTCTGTGTTTGTTTACAATCTTTTTGTCTGTCAGGTACGCAAGTCCTTGGAGCAGATCCGAATCTTTACAGAGCAAAAAGATTTGTTGGCTCAAGAGATACAAGATGAGAATGATCGACTCAGGAAGCAGCTGCAACACTTTGTATCCCTACAAGGTTGGTAAAATTTACTGGCACATTGTGTACAGGTTAAAAAAGTAATCCAGCTAATAAAAAAATACACATTCGAAAACGTATTGGTGCCAGTTTTTCATTGCCCCTTTAGTATCCTATAAAATCTAATACCCAGTATTAGTAAAAAAGTTGAGAAACTATTGGAGAAGTTTTTGACCTGAAGAACTTTCTGATTTCTTCTTACTCTGTCATGCTTGAAGCAACTCTTTTTTTCCTGCTAACTAACTGGATTTGTTGGACAAAATCAAAGCTGCTTTGTCACTGGTTTTATTTGTTGTGTGAATCAAAGAACAATCTTATACCTTAAATTATACCTTTGTGCAACAAGATCACCAAACACCAACGATCCTTATTTTCTCTGGTGTTACAATCACAGATTTTCTCTTTTCTTCCTCATTTGTTCTCGTAGATGCTCAGATAAGTGAGGTGGCCAAAATGCTGTACCAGCAGGCTCTCACAGAGCTGATTCCCAGTAGTGCCAGTGAACAAGTGGCTTACCTCCTGGTGGAGAGGGCTTCCTTACTTGAAACAAACGAGGATCCTTACAAGCTGGTGGCCGATGGAAACACAGAAATCTGTTCTGGGATTCAAACACAGAACATCAGCACATACCAAGTAAGAGAGGAYGAACAGTGTACAAGGTTTTCATCTTGTAACAGTGTGGTGTGTTCATTTTACCAATAATTTATAGATAAAGTTTCATTTTTATCCGTGGTGGAGCTCAGTTTTAAGTAAAACTGTATATCTCAAGTTGGCTGTGGTTCTGTAATGTTTTACAGTGTTAGCCATTTCACAAAATGTTTATTTCTTCAGGTCCCACCAATAAGACGGATCTTATACCAATTATCCTCTGAAGTCTCTAGCTCATTATAGGAACAATATTGAATAAGTGCACGTCAACAATTTACAAATGTTCTTTTAAAAAAATGAACAATTAATTTTTACAGTTGATCTTAAACATCATGGAACAAGACAAATTTACAAAATGGTAGATATCAATATATACAGGTTTTTGACTGTCTGTAGTTCACGTCCCACTTAAAAAAAAACAATCACAGTGTAGTGTGAAGGAAATACATCCTCTACATCCATTTTGTTTTTGTTTTTGCTGTTGTTTGTAGTGTTTTTTTTAAAATATATTTTCATGTATTTTTAGTATTTGTAATTTTTCAGTCTTCCCAGAAGAGGGCATCCCGACATTTGCAGAGTGCATGGAAGAGAATATTTGAGCTCCACAAGACTGCACACAATAAACATATTTTCATTCCTGTATGTATGCATTAACATATGTATGTATATTTGTACATATGGATAGATGCATATGTAAGTTTTTGATAATGATGCATACATTAAATATAATTAAATACTAACAAAGCAGACTGCCCTCAGGCCAGCTCTGTTGTTTGCCTATGGTTTTGTATATAACGTGTAAAAATATATATTCTGCATGTATTTTTAAAACACGTTTTCATTAACCATTCTGCATTTTATTCCCAGTGATAATCTCCAGCACAGTATAGGAATCTTTGCATGGTAGAAGAATTTCAGGTCACTGCTCCACTGACGCAGCTTGTTCCAGTGCACTTCTCGAGGTGTCCTTTTAGTTCTTGCATGTTAGCTTCTACCACGACCCTACTCGGTCATTTTTTTGAAGCTTGTCAATTCGTGTTTGAAAATAGTTTTGTTGCATTCATTACTTTTTAGTCTGAGGCCGTACCTTTGGCTGGCCGCTCAAGCAGTTTGGAGACGACGTGTTCCCGTCTGGAGCGGGACGTGGAAGAGGGTTCCCGCCGACTGGCCATGGCGCACAACGAGATCCGACATTTGACTGATGAGCTGGAATCTGCTCATTTGACTCAAAGAGCGTACGGTAAGAGATTTTAATCAGAGCCTTTCATTTTTGTTTTGATGGTATTTTGGCTTCACATAGGACCCCCGAAAAGCTGAATTGAAACAAGTTTTTCAAAGCTCTGATGAAAAGAAAAAGCTTCATCAGCAACTATTTAAAATTATTTCATACAGTTTGTGTGATTCATCTGGCTTCTGTGTTTCAGAGCCTGAGCTGCAGTCTGCGCAGCAGGAAGTGGTGCAGCTCAGACAGGAAGTAGGGAAACTTATAAAAAATGATCGCCTGGACTTTGAGATCAGGGCTTTGAGGGACCGGGTMCGCTCTCTGAATGCTGAGAAACTTTTTCTGCAGCAGACAGTAAGTAACACCTTTAGAACCTGAACGTTATGGTGAAAAGTCATTAGCTGCAATCATTTTCTTTTTTTGCAGTTTTGCAGTAAGCACTCCTGTAAATGTTCTAGTTCTTGAGTTGGAAATACAAATAATAATAAAAAAATGGTATTTTATACTTAAACTTTACACATCAATCCCTTTCTCTTTCTGTTTCTGTTTATGACCAAAGACTCGAAAAAGTTTTATGATCATAAAATACGTTTACTAACTGCCCATATGAACAAGAACAATCAGACATTTCAGTCCATTTTATTTCAGCCTTTATATAAAAGTAATTTATTTACCTTTTTTTGTAATTGCTGTATTAGAACTTTTTTTACATAATTCATATTTACAAATTGGCCTGAATAAATATAGCCCTTGTGTTATACTACTGTTTTTCAATGATTTCCTTTTGGTTTTTAGTTTTTAAATTGCGACAATAGCTTTGTTTGCTTAACTAGGTCACTGCTTTTAAAAATATGGAGCTTCAAAGCATTTTATTTCATGAAAGCGGCTGTGAACTGTGACAACCACGTAGAACACCACAACCTTTTCCATTTTCCGCAGTGAACGTGTTCAAAATTGCTTTGAATGTAAAACCCTGCAAACAAGACGTATAAATAAAGAAATGCTGAAAATGTGAACTGCAAAGATCGTTGTGATTTTGGATGTATATTGGTTGTGCAAATGTCTCTTTATGGTACAAAAAGCTTTATCATGTTGATGGAAATATGTGACATTTGGAGAGTTTGATGTTTTCTAAAAGACACACACATAAAGCTTGTAACCCKCTGTTACAAACATCTTAGACCTGATTTCTCATCCCTGGACTGAAATTCACCGTCCAAAGTGGTTGTTGGTTGTTGTAGTTGCAAAAACCTGAAATAAATAATTTAATTCCGAGAAATTTTCTTTTTGTAAAGAAAATTTTGTTAAATCAGGTTTCAGTAATCACTTTCCATTTTCAAAGGGCCAAGTACTAAAAGTGCACAACCCTGCATTTTACAGTGCAGTGGCTATTTTTATATCTTATTTAAAGCAACAATATGATTTCWGAGTCTTTATTACATTTTAGAAAATATAAATTCATGTGTTTTACAAAGACAAGATAAAATCAGGGGGGCTTTATACTCATCACAGACTGACGGTAAATGGATTGGTTTCTGATTCTATATGAGTTTTGAATAGATTCGATCAAAAACAGTTGGTGTGCTGTTTTTAGTCATTAAACAAGATTTTAATCAGCAGTCGTTGTGGATTTAAAATGTCTTAATTTCTAAATAGCTATGGTACAGCCAGTAAGTGTTTTTTGTCCTGTCTAATTGGAAGATTTAGGGTTCAATCTTCATTTTTGTGATCTGTCAAAATGTCCTTGAGCATAACTCTGACTCATAGGCCCCCAATTTATCTGTTGTGTAATAATCTCACTCAGTCAGCAAAGTAACAAAAATTCACATTTTATATACCCTTTGGTCTCTGGTTCCAGCTTTTATGGGRCTTTTTGTAGCAGTCCTGAAAACAAACTTTCCCAACCACAGAACCTCTAATATAGAGGTTATGACTATAAATGAGTCATTACCTGAATAAGAGGCAAACAGCACTTTATTCATATTGAGCTTTGAGAGTCTCACACCATATAAACGTTACTACAAGCTTGGCTGCTGCAAGAAAAGAAGCAGCTGGTTGTTTAGCTTGTTGGGTGTGGCTAGTAGCTACCTTGTGTTCGTCCCCTTTGCAGAGTCAGCATTGTGTATGTACAGGGTTGTGCTCTCAGACAGCGCCCTATAGTACAATACATTGTTTCATGGAAGAGCAAACATGCAAAAAAAACATCTTTTCCTCAGGTGGAATGTCAGCAAATGAAAACGGAGCATCTACAATCAGCTCTGCAGAACTAGAAAATCCTCCGTGTGCAAGTTCAAGCTAACCAAGCTGCTGAATGTGAAGTAATGCTCATAATGCAACTATCTAACCTAAAAAGTCTGTTTCTTAGTAAAGATTAATTCTCCATGAAGACTGTTTGGAATACTAGCCATCACCTTTTTATACTGACTTAATGTCCGAGCTGGCAAAGAGCAAAGACATTTGCATAAATTTACAAGAGAAACGAACTGCTCGAACACAACACTTAATATACGAAAAGAAAACAGTAATTAGGATAGGAAATTAGTGATCATAGAAGCTGAATTTAATCTCAAGTCCAGTCAAAAAAATATTTGACCTTTATTTTTATTTTTTTTAGCATTTTGTATCATTCTTAATAGGGTAACATGTTTTGGTCAATCAATTGGTCAGTGAAAGAAAAATAAACTCTTTGATTCAGCACTTTTATTGTAGGATTTAAGAGGATTTCTTTAGAATTCCTTAGAGAAGAGTTAATGATTTTAAATACTGAAGGAGAATTATAAACCTAAATAATGACTCTAGATTCCACAGTGTATGATTCTGAAATGTACAAAAACAGTTTTGTTTCCTTGTTGAAAACATATTTCATTTGCATAAAAAGCTTGAGAACCACTGAATTTGTATTCAGACAGGAAGTATCTGCACATGACCAACAACTCACAAAAAAGTTAATATTTTTGGACTAACTGATGTGTGTAATGATGTCGCAGGTTGATTTTCTGCAGAAGGAAGTGGAGCGACTGGAGTCGGCCTTGAAGGAGCAGCAGCAGCTTTGCATTGTGCATCATCATGCTGACCGAGCTAATGAACCAAACAAAGTGTGTCTCGTTACATCAGATCTGTCCTCCTGCTTACCAAATCAAATACTGCCGTACTTTACAAATCTTTATTTCTGTTTGCCATCATAATATGGGATGACGGCATGGTTTCTTGTATTCATATTCTCTGTTTATTTCAGATACGTTGTCTTCAGCTTGTGGAAAATTACAACAGTGACCTGAATAATTTCATCGCTAAAATCTGCACCAAAAACAAACATGAGCAGTATCAAAAGTAAGACAATATACTATATTAAATATACTATATTTAGGCCCGAGCAGCTAAGCGCYGCGAAGGCCTATTGTTTTTGTACTGTTTATTATAGTTCTTTTATATACTTATATTTTTAATTTCCTTTCTGCTAGTATTACTGAACGTGCTTTCATTCTTCAGGAAAATACTTTTAAAGCAAAATGTTGTGCTTTTGTCCAGGAGAAAAAAGGCAGATGTACAGCTCAGTAAAAACACCGACACTCAAATGGAAATTTCCTTAGTGACAAAGAGGCTTCAGCCACAGCTGTGTGAAGAAAGCATGTTTTGTAAGGTGATGCCATCAGAGGTTTAAATGATGCATGCTATAACTTGTCCAGTTTACTGGTAGCCAAGAACTGTGCTGTTGTGTTTGTTCCTTATAATTAAAGTCATTTCACTGGCTTTGTCCTCATGGGTGTGTTAGACATCTTTAAAAACAGACGTTTTTTTTTTCCATTCTAATTTTATGTTGTAATGCAGGCATGTCCTGACTGTAAGGAAGCAAGGAAGGCTCTGTTGTCTGCTCAAAACCAGTGTGAGACTTTGAAGAAGGAGATGTGTGAAACTCTAAAATGTCTCGACAAAGAGCGAAGGTATCAATCATGCCGTATTACAAACTCCACACGCAAGTATAGCTGTCATTTTGTTTTTTAATTCCACAAATAATTCACTGCCCAACTTAAATTTAAACTGCAGCAACGCCCTCAGAGAGGTGTGAAAGGAGCGATCAAAAGACAGTAAACTTTGGTGAATGAATAAGTACATTAATAATTGGTTCCTTGGGAGAAATAAATGCAACCATGATAACAAAGGCATACGGGTTTGGATGTAATTGGAAAACGTCTGTCGCTATGAAAAGTCCCTAGGTACATTCAGAAACAAAGAGCCCATGTTTTTGCTTTTAGAGACAAATTAGTGTTAAATTTTATGTTAAAATAATAATTTTGATAACAAACACCAGGAGCTCATTTCATCAGATTTATAACATATATCAGGATATCAGCTGTAAGCTGAGTTAAACAAGCCTTCAACCTATAAACAGCTGTAATCTGTTGCTCTRACACCAAGCCACTCTTAAACAGCTGTAAATCGTTTAGGATTAATGCACGTTCATGGTTTGCAGCAGGCACAAAGGTGGGGAGGGTGATTGGCATATTAAAGGCTATTTTAAAGGTGAAGCTGAGGTTAAGTCTTTTTTTATTATTGTTTTTTCAGATAATCTGATAAATAAATAAAATAAATATACTTTCTCTGTAATATTTTAATGCAAAGAAAAATATAATACATGTAATAATAATTGTATGAAACACTGATTTCTGATCAGACGCTGCAAAAATTAGGCTTCTAAAAATAAGTTTAAAATACTAGACTTATTCTTTTCATATTACTAATAATTAATTAAATCTGCAGTTTGACAGTTGCACTTGGTAGGACTTCTTGAAATAAAGAAAACTTTTTAATATTAATAATCCAACATATTCTGATCTTGTTTAGTAAACCAGTCTCAAAACAGGATCAAAAATACTTTTTAGCTGATATAAAACTGTAAAAYTTGGTTAGATGAACAGTTTTTGCAGTAAAGTGACTGTCTACTGCTTAGAWGATTAAATAAGCTTCACTTTAAACCKGGWYGRGACCAGAGGCCTATTGCACAAAACTAGGATAAGGGATTAACCCGGGATTTTGGTGTAAACCTGAATTAATTAAGCCTTGAATTGGTTGCATGAACTACAAAGCACTTATATTTCCATGKTAACAAGTGCTCTGAAACTAACCTGGTCCTGACCAGGTTTAAAGTGAAATTTATTTACCGGTAATCTGTTAGTGTTTTTGAGCAGCAGTCAGTCACTTCACTGCAAAAAAATGTTCCTCTAACCAGGTTTTACAGTTTTATATCAGCTAAAAAGTATTTTTGATCTTGTTTTTAGACCAATAAACTAACCAAGATCAGAATATGTTGGATTTTAAACGTGTTAATCTGAAAAGTTTTTTTTACTTCAAGAAGTCTGACCAAGTGCAACTGTCAAACTGTTCAACCTCGGCTTACAGCTCATATCCTGAATTTATAAATCTGACTCTTGTGCAATAGGCGTCTGGTTATGGACACATAAGTGCTTCTCCTCCCACGCAACCGAATCAAGGCTTAATTAATTCAGGTTTACACCAAAATCCCGGCTTAATCCCTTATCCTAGATTTGTGCAATAGGCCTCTGATCATTGGGCCTCATGCAAGAACATGTTTGTGTTCTTATCCTAAATTTCTCTTACTTTTGTTCGTACAAAGGGTTCGTACAAACA